AATGAGTGCAATTGTGCGGTAGTTGGAGCATTCTTTGGCACTTCCCTTCTTTGGGATTGGGATGTAGACTGATCTTCTCCAATCTTCTGGCCACTGCTGAGTTTTCCAAATTTGCTGGCATATTGAGTGTAGCACCTTAACAGCATCATCTTTTAAAATTTTAAATAATTCAGCTGGAATACCATCACTTCCACTGGCCTTGTTATTAGCGATGCTTTCTAAGGCCCATTTGACTTCACTTTCCAGGATGTCTGGCTCAAGGTCAGCAACCACACTACCTGGGGTATACGAGACATCAATTTCTTTCTGGTATAGTTCCTCTGTGTATTCTTGCCACCTCTTCTTGATGTCTTCTGCTTCTGTTAGGTCCTTTCCACTTTTGTCTTTTATTATGGAAATCTTTGTACAAAATGTTCCTTTCATATCTCCAATTTTCTTGAACAGATCTCTGGTTCTTCCCATTCTATTGTTTTCCTCTATTTCTTTGCATTGCTCGTTTAAGAAGGCCTTCTTGTCTCTCCTTGCTATTTTTTGGAAATCTGCATTCAATTTCCTGTATCTTTCACTATCTCCCTCGCATTTTGCTTGCCTTCTCTCCTCCGCTATTTGTAAGGCCTCGTTGGACAGCCACTTTGCTTTCTTGCATTTCCTTTTCATTGGGATGGTTTTCGTTGCTGCCTCCTGTACAATGTTACGAGCCTCCATCCATAGTTCTTCAGGCACTCTGTCCACCAAATCTAAATCCTTAAACCTGTTCCTCACTTCCACTGTGTATTCATAAGGGATTTGGTTTAGATTGTATCTTACCGGCCCAGTGGTTTTTCCTACTTTCTTCAGTTTAAGCTTGAATTTTGCTATAAGAAGCTGATGATCTGAGCCACAGTCAGCTCCAGGTCTTGTTTTTGCTGACTGTATAGAGCTTCTCCATCTTTGGCTGCAGAGAATATAATCAATCTGATTTCGATGCTGCCCATCTGGTGATGTCCATGTGTAGAGTCGTCTCTTGTGTTGTTGGAAAAGCGTGTTTGTGATGACCAGCTTGTTCTCTTGACAGAACTCTATTAGCCTTTGCCCTGCTTCGTTTTGAACTCCAAGGCCAAACTTGCCAGTTGTTCCTTTTATCTCTTGATTCCCTACTTTAGCATTCCAATCCCCTATTATGAGCAGAACATCCTTCTTTGGTGTCATTTCTATAAGGTCTTGTAAGTCTTCATAGAATTGGTCAATTTCAGTTTCTTCAGCACCAGTAGTTGGTGCATAAACTTGGATTACTGTGATGTTAAAAGGTCTGCCTTGGATTCGTATCGAGATCATTCTATCATTTTTGAGATTGCATCCCAGTACAGCTTTCACCACTCTTTTGTTGACTATGAGGGCCACTCCATTTCTTTTACGGGTTTCTTGTCCACAGTAGTAGATATGATAGTCATCCGAACTGAATTCGCCCATTCCCGTCCATTTTAGTTCACTGATGCCCAAGATGTCAATATTTATTCTTGCCATCTCATTTTTGACCACATCCAACTTACCCAGGTTCATGGTTCTTACATTCCAGGTTCCTATGCAATATTTTTCTTTACAGCATTGGACTTTCCTTTCGCTTCCATGCATATCCGCAACTGAGCGTCCTTTCGGCTTTGGCCCAGCCGCTTCATCAGCTCTGGATCTACTTGTACTTGTCCTCCGCTCTTCCCCAGTAGCATGTTGGACACCTTCCGACCTGAGGGGCTCATCTTCCAGCGTCATAACTTTTATATGCCTGTTGTCTTTGTCCATGGAGTTTTCTTGGCAGGGATACTGGAGTGGCTTGCCAGTTCCTGCTCCAGGTGGATCACGTTTGGTCAAAACTCTCCACTATGACCTGTCCATCTTGGGTGGCCCTGCACGGCATAGCTCATAGCTTCTCTGAGTTATTCAAGCCCCTTCGCCACGGCAAGGCAGTGATCCATGAAGGAGAAAAATTCTGTAGTTCACATTTTCTCCTCTAAAGGATATCAGAAAACGTCATCAAAATTTGTTTATCTAAGTTTGTCACTTTCAATGTACAGAACGCTCAGCACAAACCTCTCTTGAGATATCATGGCCCTTAATTCATTTTTAATTCTTTGGGGTCGCGAAAAACTCCTCTCCCCTGAGCAGTTAGTGACCATAAAGCTAAGAAACAGCTGCAAGATTGTTTCCACATTAGGAAAGTCCATCTGATTTTTTCCCCTTGTATAGAATTTGATGAAGGTCTGTATGAGAGAGAGAGTGCTCTGCTGTAAGCCTATGGCTTTGTTTCTCAGGCGGAAGTGCAAAAGTTCATCAATGAATTTTGGGTCAGCATCTTCTGGGGATGCTTCCATCAACAGTGCAACACCTCACTGAATTTCTTGCTTAGATACTATCAGAATAGCAAGAATGGAGAAAAAAAGGACATCACTGTACACAGTACTTTTAAAAATTGGCTTTAAGTGTAACTGATATAGGAATAAAGGATTTTATCCTAAACCTCTCTCTTGAAGAAAGTGCATCTAAGCCTAAGGCATCAGGTGAACTTCAGTCATTTCTTTACCGTTCCCTAACTCTTTGTCTCCTTGTTTTGCAGTTAACATTTGGCAAGGTGGCTTTTGCTTGTTTCTCAAGCTCATCAAAATCTCTAATTTTCCTTAAAAAATCCAGAGGTGAACTGTACAAACTTGCACAAGAACTCAATAACAGGCCTGATTTCTGAAGGGCTTTGCTGGCCTTGTGAAAATGACCTACACACAGATTTATATCTCTAAGATTCTGCAGATTTTGGCTGTGAACTAGAGCCCCACAAAAAAAATTCAAGTTGGGCCCCAGAGTTTCAAATAGGGCTCCACTGGCTGGCCCCCAGTCTCATAGGTGCTGGGCCCAAGTTGCCCTGCCCTCACATGAAGTCTTGGGTTTACAATTTGGTGAGAGGGGAGACTGCCTGCCGAGGCCCCCTAGATTTAGAGGACCTAGGCTTCAGCCTACTTAGTCTATACTGCAGACAAGCCTCACTAATTTACTTTTTGGGCCACACAAGACATCTGAAGGCAGCCCTGTTTACGGAAGCTTTTAATGTTTAATAGATTATTGTATTTTAATATTCTGTTGGAAGCTGCCCAGAGTGGCTGGGTATGTATAAATAAAAAAATAAAAAAATAAAAAAATACAGCATTACCTTTCAGGGGGTGTACTGAGAAAGGTGACGAGGACTGATTTTGCAGTCGTTCAGGGGAGTTTCATTTCCGAGGGTGCTGGAGACTTGAAATCAAGCCACAATTCGACTCAGCAGCAAGCTACACCCCCACTGTACAGCATTTTTTTTATTGTTTTACTTTCCACAAAACAAGATTCCACAATTAACATTGAAAATACGTGCCCCCCCCCTCATATGTATATCTTTATCCTTTCATCATTATCATTCCCACTTCTGGTTCCTTATATACACTAAATTCTTCTGCATATCCATATCTACTATTAATCCACTATTATATCCTAAATTATCCAAATTTCTGGTAATTGCAAGCGTTTAGTCCAAAGCTGCTAATGTTTCAACTTGTTTAGTGTTCTTTGCACATATACAATAAATGTTTCCCACTCTTTTTTGAATTTCTCATTATCATAGTCTCTGAGCTTTGTTGTTAGTTTCACCATCTCTGCATAGTCCATAAGTTTGATTCGCCATTCTTCAAAGTTTCTTCCTTCCATCTTTGAACTAACAGGATCCGGGCCGCTGTTGTAGCATACATGAATATCTTCTGTTCTTTGGGTAGTTCAGCATCTACTGAACCTATTAAGAAAGCTTCTGGTTTTTAAACAAAGGTCATTTTAAACATTTTTTTCTGTTCATTATAAATCCTTTCCCAGAAATTTTTAATAATTCTCCAACTGAAGAAGTGTGCATGCACACAAAATAATATACCCAGAACAAACTTAGTTGGTCTCTAAGGTGCTACTGGACAATTATTTATTTTTTTAAAATGAAACCAGACTTTCAAAAATCCCTCCAATCAAAGTGTGCCTTGCCAAACTCACAAGTATTTCCAGGTACTCACTCCACTTAATGGGTGTTCTCTTGCAGACATCGGGTTTCTTGGATGCAAGGTCATGTTCACAATTATAAATCCAGTAAGAAATGAGAATGGGTTTGGGTTGCTTTTAATCCAACTTTCCCACCAGCAAGCTGCTGTCCATTTATATCAAATAAGCTGGTAACTTTCCCACTTACAAACTTTCCCAATGCAGGGGCTATTACCTAGGAGATAGGGACGAACCTCCTTTTTATTTCTCTGTCTGGTGCCGAATTTAGTTGAATACAATCTTTTATAAAATCTTCTTTACCTTCCCATCGGCTGTAAGTAGTTTTGGGAAATCTCTGCTTCAGCCTAGAGTGGAGGCTTGTCTCCCACAGAGTTGTGCTGCTGCCAGGACCACTGGCTCCGTCACTGCTCCCCACACCCACTCCCCGTGCCTTTCAGCAGAGGAATCGAGGGCAGCTGGAGAAGCTTTTGTGGGCTGCTGGACCCTCCACACCTGGAGAACCCTCTCAGGGTTTTTTGCGCACTCTGCCTTAGTGCTTCTCCCTGTTGCTCCATGGGGCTCAAGTGTGTCAGAGCGATCAGACTCGCACTCTGCAGAAACTCGCACTCCGACCGCCATCTGCAGAAACCAGAAGTCTCCCACTGCACAGCATTTTAAATGTTTATGGTAAAGGTGGTGTTGCTGTGTTGTTTTTCTTTTAGCTATTTGTTCATGCTTTTACATTGTATTTTATTTTGTGAACCACCCTGAGATTTTTTGATGAAGGGCAGTATGTAAATCTAAAAAATAATAATGCCTCCTAAAATTAAATCCCTACACAAACACTACTAGTCTTCCTTCACCGTGAGTTTTTTGATGGGAAGTGAGGCTGCTCTTATGTCTGAAGCTTTTTCCACACTCTTGGCACTGAAATGGTTTCTCCCCTGTGTGAATTATTCGATGGGAAGCGAGATGGTAGCTGTGACTGAAGCTTTTTCCACACTCTTGGCACTGATAGGGTTTCTCCCCTGTATGAATTCTTTGATGGGCAGTGAGACCTTCTTTCCAGGTGAAGCTCTTTCCACATTCCAAGCACTGAAATGGTTTCTCCCCTGTATGAATTCTTTGATGATAAGTGAAACTATCCTTTCGACTGAAGCCCTTTCCACATTCCAAACACTGATAGGGTTTCTCCCCTGTATGAATTCTTTGATGGGAAGTGAGATTTTCTTTCCTAGTGAAGCTCTTTCCACATTCCAAGCACAGATAGGGTTTCTCCCCTGTATGAATTCTTTGATGAGAAGTGAGATTTTCTTTCCAGGTGAAGCTCTTTCCACACTCCAAGCACTGATAGGGTTTCGCCCCTGTATGAACTCTTTGATGGGAAGTGAGATTAGTCCTCTGACTGAAGCTCTTTCCACATTCCCAACAACAATGTGGTTTCTCCCCTGTATGAATTCTTTGATGGGAAGCTAAAGTCTGTTTCCAGATGAAGCTCTTTCCACACTCCAAGCACTGATAAGGTTTCTCTCCTGTATGATGTGATTTGTGGGAAGTGAGACTGTCCTTTCGACTGAAGCTCTTTCCACATTCCAAACAACAATATGGTTTCTCTCCTGTATGAATTCTTTGATGGGAAGCGAAACTCTTTTTCCAGGTGAAGCTCTTTCCACACTCCAAGCATTGATAGGGTTTCTTCTCAAGGGGATTTCTTTGATGGGAAGAGGAATGGGAGCTCTGACTGAAGCTCTCTCCATAGTCTGAATACTGATATGGCTCCTCCACTGTATGGATTTCATTGTGGTCTCCCTTGTTCTTCATTTCCAGTTCCTCAATACCTGAAACTAAGAGGCAAACGTATTAGAGGCTTGGGAAGAAGTGCAGCTCAAAATTATGGAGGAATGCTAATTAAGGCTTGTGACAGGGAAAGAACTCAAGGGAGCTAGATGTTATAATGTTCATTTTGTTCTGTAAAAATGTCTAGTTTCATATACAAATAGAGTATTGGCTGTTTTCTCTCACTTAAGTTTTTAAAAGATTAACACAGCTTAACAGTAACATCAATTTGTTCAAATTTAAATATGGATCTGTACTACGTTCATAAATAAAGTGTTCTTTTATTATTATTTAAATGATGGACAATGAAGGAATGTTCCCTGTCCAAAATTAAGATATATTCAATATGCTCAATTGTTCAATATGCAGTAATAAATCTAAACAAATTTTAAGAGCTGGTGAAATATTTGGGAACACTGACACTGGACAGGCATGGTCTAAGTCAGCTGCCTTGTAGTGAGCAATGTAAGAGTAGGGGAACAAAAATGGAAAGCATATGGACTTCTGTGTGCTGAAAAACACTTTGTGTATTGAACAAATGTGTTTAGCAGCTGCCAAATTAAACTTCTTCAGTGGCTAAAAAATATAATTATGATGTGCATCACCTTAAAACAATTTGGATGTTTTCTTAAATTCTTGACATAACAGCATGCAGCAGAAACTTGTCATATCGGCATTATTATTTCTCAAGAGGAGGTTAAGGGGTGATATGATAGGCATGCTCAAATATATAAAAGGATGTCATATAGAGGAGGGAGAAAGGTTGTTTTCTGCTGCTCCAGAGAAGCGGACACGGAGCAATGGATCCAAACTACAAGAAAGAAGATTCCACCTCAACATTAGGAAGAACTTCCTGACAGTAAGAGCTGTTCGACAGTGGAATTTGCTGCCAAGGAGTGTGGTGGAGTCTCCTTCTTTGGAGGTCTTTAAGCAGAGGCGTGACAACCATATGTCAGGAGTGCTCTGATGGTGTTTCCTGCTTGGCAGGGGGTTGGACTCAATGGCCCTTGTGGTCTATTCCAACTCTATGATTCTATGATTCTAAGTGCCCTTACTTAAATGTTACATTACTGCAAGAAGTTACAGTGGACGAGGCAGGGGGGCTTCTTGGTAGGGGCACCCACCCTGTGGAACGCCCCCCCCCATCAGATGTCAAGGAAATAACTATGCAACTTTTAGAGGACTTCTGAAGGCACCTCTGTATTGGGAAGTTTTTAATGTTTGATGTTTTATTATGTTTTTATATTTTTTGGAAGCTGCCCAGAGTGGCTGGGGCATCCCAGGGAGATGGGCAGGGTAAAAATAACAAAATTATCATTATTGTTACTACAGGGTTCACTGCCTGAGATTCAGAAGGCCTGGCTCTCCTCCCTCCTCTCCGTCTCAGAGGCTGGGCTTTCTGTCTCATCTCAAGGACTGCCAAAGCGGCCCAAAAAGCCTCTTGACTTCCACCCAAACCATCCACATCAATCCTAAGCATCTCCTGTTCTGATTTCCATTTTTTGGTCTCCCTTTCCAGCTTTTTAGATTTTTCCTCCCTTCCTTTCATGTAGACATCAAGTGCTTCTGTTTTCTTTGTCAGTGTCTCTACTTTAGTGGTCAAATTTGTCACCATTTCACTATTTCTATCAATTCGGGCTAATAGCTTCTCCAACTTTTCCTTCATCTCTTTAGTCCGGTATTTTTTTAAGTCAGCAAAAAGTTCCACCAATTCAGATGGGGACCTGTCCCCTGGGTCTTGCTCTGAAGATCTTCTACTCAGGCCTGGTGTTAACTGTTTTTAACTGCCATAGTCAAAATCTCACTCTCCCTTTTCCAGCATCACCTTATCAGTTTCTCAAGGCCTCAGAATAACTCTTTCCTAAGAGATCCTGTTTCCTGTATTTTCCAGCCCTCTCTCTTCCATCCAGCCTGATACCCAGAACTGTTTAACATAAGATCCAATTTCTCAAATTAAGATTCGAATTAACCAAATAATTACTTTAAGAGAGGAACCACAAGAAAGAAAAAAGAAACAATGTGTCCAAGAGGACACAGCAATTTAGATGTCCAGAGAAGAGTGGTTGTGTTGCAGTAATCCAATTCTCTTTAACTGTCTCACAGTAGAAGACATATTTTCCTTCGAAGAGAAGCAAACTTGTCCAAACCTGTCCTGCTATTAGCTTTTTTAGCCAACTCTCAGTCCTTTTAAGAGCTCAAATGGTTGTTTTTTTAAAGAACTTTAAAAATGAGACCAGATTTTCATAAATCCCTCCAATCAGTCTTGGCACTGAAATGGTTTCTACCCTGTGTGAATTCTCTGATGGGAAGTGAGATTGTTGCTTTGACTGAAGCGCTTTCCACATTCCATGCACTGATATGGTTTCTCCCCTGTATGGCTTTTTTGATGGGCTGTGAGACTTTCTTTCCTGGTGAAGCTCTTTCCACATTCCAGGCACTGATAGGGGTTTTCCCCTGTATGAATTCTTTGATGGGAAGTAAAACTTATTTTCCAGGTAAAGCTCTTTCCACATTCCAAGCACTGATACGGTTTCGCCCCTGTATGAATTCTTTGATGGGCAGTGAGATTGGTCCTCTGACTGAAGCTCTTTCCACATTCCACACACTGATATGGTTTTTCCCCTGTATGGATTATTTTATGGGAAGCTAAACTCAGTTTCCAGTTGAAGCTCTTTCCACATTCCAAGCACTTAAAGGGTTTCTCCCTTGCATGAACTCTTTGATGGGAAGTGAGACTTTCTTTCCTGGTGAAGCTCTTTCCACATTCCTGGCACTGATAGGGGTTTTCCCCTGTATGAATTCTTTGATGGGAAGTAAAACTTGTTTTCCAGGTGAAGCTCTTTCCACATTCCAAGCACTTAAAGGGTTTCTCCCTTGCATGAACTCTTTGATGGGAAGTGAGAGTTTCTTTCCAAGTAAAGCTCTTTCCACATTCCAAGCACTTAAAGGGTTTATCTCCTGTATGAATTCTTTGATGGGAAGTAAGATCTGAGTTCCTCCTGAAGCTTTTTCCACATTCCATGCACTGATATGTTTTCTCCCCTGTATGAATTCTTTGATGGGAAGTGAAACTTATTTTCCAGGTGAAGCTCTTTCCACATTCCAAGCACTGATAGGGCTTCTCCCCTGTATGAATTCTTTGATGGGAAGTGAGATATAATTTCCTGGTGAAGCTCTTTCCACATTCCAAGCACTGATAGGGCTTCTTCTCAAGGGGATTTCTTTGATGGGAAGAGGAAGAGGAGCTCTGACTGAAGCTCTCTCCACAATCTGAATCCTGATATGGCTCCTCCACTGTGTGAAATTCATTGTGCTCTCCCTTGTTCTTCATTTCCAATTTATCACCACCTGAAACTCAGAGGCAAACGAATTAGAGTCCAGGGAAGAAGTGCAGCTCAAAATTATGGAGCAATGCTCATTAAGGTTTGTGACAGGGAAAGAACTGAAGGGAGTTAGATGTTATAATGTTCATTTTGTTCTGTAAAAATGTCTACTTTCATAAACAAATCAAGTTGATTATTAGATGTTTTCTCTCTCTTAACTATTTTTAGCTTAACTTGGTAGCATCTTTTTGTTCAAATTTAAATATGGATCTGTACTATCCTCATGAATAAAATGTACTTTTATTATTATTTAAATGGTGGCCAATGCTGGAAAGTTCCCTGTCCAAAATTAAGATATATTCAATATGTTAAGTTGTTCAATATGCAGTAATTATTTAAAAATAATTTTTATTGGTTTTCTTTTTCTCGTAACAAATATCCACTATCAATAACATTCATTTTCCAGTTTCTCCCCACCCTGTTGACTTCCCTCAGCTTCCATTTCTGGTTTATTACCTCATATATTACATTCTGCTATTTGTATAAAATAATATTTTGTCACATTGTAAAATTTCTTTTTCTCTATCAATAAAGCTGTAAACTGCCAACGAGTCCATGTTGTTGTTTTTTTTGTTTCTGTAGGAATGTTGTAAATGGTTCCCATATTTTTTCAAAGTCACTACTGTCCTTTTCACGCAGTTCAATATGCAGTAATAAATCTAAACAAATTTTAAGAGCTGGTGAAATATTTGGGAACACTGACACTGGACAGGCATGGTCTAAGTCAGCTGCCTTGTAGTGGGCGAGTGCTGTGGGTAGTGCTGTTGAGCCCCATCAAAATATCAGAGGTTCATCACCTAGATATATATCTTGAATTACAAAACAGATAGGATGAGCCAATAGGGAGCCTTACTGAGAGAGTCCCACATCCCACGATTCTCCTCCATGACCTCCTGATGCAGAGCTCTCTGGTCAGGATCCAGCAACGCCCACTCCTCATCTGTGATATAGACAGCTACATCTTCAAAGCAAACTGTATCCTAACAGAAAAGGAAAAAGGCTGTCCTCTTAGAGAACATTCACGTGATCCATTACACTTGGCTCTGTTGTTCGTCTACAGCGGCCAGACCCCTCTCTGCCTTCCTCATCCCTCTCTCCTGCTGCAGCTTCTGTCTCTGAGTCTGGGCTGCTCTCTGCCACAGACTCCCTCTGCTCCCTGAGCCCTCTTCCCTCTCCAGCTTCAGACACCTCCTCCTCCTCCCAGTTGGCTCCCTCTTCTCTGGCTCCTCCCACCATTCCTCTGCATCCAGCCAGTCTGCATCCAGGCAGTCCTTCCCCACAAGGCTCCTTCCCCTTACCTGATCTGGGTCCACAGCCACTGCCTCCCCTCCACCACCATGAAAAGATGAAGGAGCAGGTCTTGGTGGCATCATTCCGCCACCTGGGAGAGACAAAGGTAAGTGGAAACCATGAGCGCCTGCTTCTCTCTGAGGTGAAACAGTGCATCTCTAAGTACAGATGGGGCTTCGTCAAAATCTCCCCTGCTAGCTTCCGGTTCCGCTCTGCCTTAATGGAGCAGCGGGAGATCGTTGGAGAAGGAAAAACAAGGATGATTGAAGGTAATTCTCCTCGCAAGTTACCCCAGGGACAGGGCGAACGGGCTTCACTCCCAGTTCGTCTCAGTACCTGGCTCTCGCTCCGGCATGGGTTGTGGGAGGCAGGGAGGCGCTGAGTGCGAAAGCCCTTCGCCCGCTGAAAACCCTCCTTCGTAGCCATTAAGGAGCGGAGGTTTTCCTGTCAATTGGAGCTCAATTTGGAGTAATGTACAGGTGTTGCTGGAAGGGATGAGATGATAAACTGTGGGACTGAAACAGCTGCAAGGTCTTTAAGGGTTGAATTTGAGAGAAGACTTCATTTGGTGCAAAAGATGGGGGGAGGGAAGCCTATGGATTCTTTATATAAAGTTTTCTTCTCTACATTTATGATTTGGCAACCCACCATTGAATGATAGTTCAAATTATATATGTACAGGTGTGCAGGGATGAAACTGGATTGCAGATATGGAATATAACATCAAATGGAACTTTGTGTGTAAAAAAAAAAGGGAAAAGGGAGGGAAGCTCTATTTTACAAAATGTTTACAATGGAAAATTAGAGCTGACTCTTCCCTATCCTTTATTATTTATGGACTGAACTGAATAATGCTAAAAGGACTTGGAATTTAATTTAATTGGATAACTGTGTGTTTATATTCGGCCAGATAGAGGGATGTAAGCAATCTGCAAGTTGTGAAGGAGCTGATCGACAGATCCCTCTCCTTCCCAGGCGGAGAAGAAAAGTGGCAAAAACAGGTTATTTATTGAGACTGTGTGATTTTTGCAGCTGCTGCTAAAGTTGCCAAACAACGAAGCATGGGACAGAGCGATGGAGGATTTCTGAAACCACAGTGGGATATTAGCTCTGCCCAAGGAATGATGGAGAACAGCAACAACCAGGAAAAATAGACAGAACATTTTACAAGGACAGGAAGAAACATCATGAACAGAAAGATTGCCACACACAGGAAGAATAAGGATATAGCTGGAGTGCCTCACTTGTAGTTTTATATATTATTTAATGTGTCAAAATGAATGGAAGTCATTAATATTGCAGTTGTTGTATAAATGATTGTTATCTTGACTGGAGTGTAATTGAAATTAATAAGATTTTGGAATGCAGAAATAAAGAAAATCATCAAACCATCGTGGAGGGGCCACCTAAATTATATAATTTGGGTTAGTATTAGTAATTGTATTGTAATTTGGCATTGTTGTAATGAGGCTATTATAGGACTGTAATTGAAAACTAATAAAAATTACTATTGTAAAAGTCTCCCCTGCTGAATACATTTGGACATTTGTACCCATTTCATATATTGGTTGTGCAAAAATACATCTCCCCCCCCCCCCCGAGCTCTGGGCTCCAAGTGTCTTCACCCAAAAGATGTAAAGAACTCACAGATTAGTTTCAAAACCAAGAGAATTTGACAAAACGGGGGAGAAAACACTCCTTCCTCCTTACCCAGAGGCCTCACTCTGGCGTCCAGCGGAGTCTTCTCTGCCTCAGAAGAATCAAGACCCATTTCTGCAAAAAGATCCTTCCCCTGAAAGAGCAACATGGATTCAAAACAGAGAATGGGGAGAAGGGTTAGAAAAGGAATGGCAGAGGCAAGTGCCTTCGGGGACAGAGGTGAAAGCTGTTTCCTGCTTCTGCCTGACTGGTGTCTGGGGTTGGCTGCCAGGACCATGAAACATTGGTCCTCAAGGATCTTCACTGGCTCCCAGAACGTTTCCCAGCACAATTCAAAGTGTTGGCGCTGAACTTCAAAGCCCTAAATGGCCTCAAAGGCCCAGTATACCCACAGGAGCGTCTCCACCCCCTTCGTTCAACCCGGACCCTGAGGTCCAGCTCTGAGGGTCTTCTGCTGGTTCCCTCTCTGCAACAAGCAAAGTTACAGGGAACCAGGGAGGACCTTCTCAGTAGTGGTGCCTGCCCTGTGGAATGCCCTCCCATCAGATGTCAAGGCAATAAGCAACTACCTTACTTTTAAAAGACATCTGAAAGCAGTCCTGTTTAGTGATATTTTTAATGTTTAATGCTGTATTGTGTTTTTAATATTTGGTTGGAAGCCACCCAGAGTGGCTAGGGAAACCCAGCCAGAAAGGCGGGATATAAACAATAAATTATCATCATCATCACCATCATCATTATTACAGGGAACAAGGCAGTGGACCTTCTCGACAGTGGCACCCACCCTGTGGAATACTCTCCCATCAGATGATAAGGAGATAAAGAACTGCATAACTTTTAGAAGACATCTGATGTCTTATTATGCTTTTCTATGTGCTGGAAGAAACCCAGCCACATGGGTGTGGTATTAAAATAATAATAATAACAACAACAACAATAATAGCAGTAGCAGTAGTAGTAGATTTCCAAAAAAGGATGGGCCATTAGTAAATAATTTGGCATACTCTCCCTCCTCTTTGGAGCCCCTTGGGAGTATCCAGAGGAAAGTCTCTCTCACCTGCTTTCTCTCTGCCTGCTTCCTCTCCTCTGCCTGACTCAGGAGGAAACCTTCGGCCAGGGCCACCGCCTGGGAACTGGTCTCCGCTCCGCATTCCCTCACCCAGCTCTCCATCTCCAGGGGAAGGACAGCCAGGAACTGCTCCAAGATCACCAGGTCCAGCATCTCAGCTTTTGTGTGCCTTTCTGGCTTCAGCCATCGATGGCAAAGGTGGTAGAGTTGGCTGCAAACCTCTCGGGGTCCTTTGGCCTCCTGGTAGCAGAACTGCCTGAGCTGCTGGCTCTGCACCTCTGAGCAAGGGGTGTCCTCCTCATCCAGGATCTTCTGCACAGAGTTTTCACAGAATCCCCCACTGTTCCCAGTTTCCAGGGCATGGCCTCTTCCTGCTTCAGCACCAGCTGAGTCTTGCTCATCCATCTGTGTTCCCAGGAAGTCTCCAAGAGATTGGAAGAAGCCCCTTGGTCCTCTGCCAAGTTCTAATGCAAGGTGCAACAAATCCTACGAATCAAACACATTCTTCTATTATAAGATCAATACACAGCCAAGAGAAGAAGAATGTTCCCTGAGCAAGCGTGGGGAGAGGAGGAGGAGGAAGAAGTCGTAACTGTGAATGACAAGTGAGTCATTTGTATCCCAACCCCACTTCATAGTACAGAGCTTCACCCCAATCCAGCCATATCTGCTTGGGTGGCTTTGGTAAGCAGGAGGGCCCATGTCTAGCTCCAGCCACCGTCCCTTTGGCACAGACAGGATGTGGCCATGGGACTTCCTGCTCTGGATCCAATGGGATGGTTGCAAGGCCCTCTGGGTGGAACTGCCCTGGAAGACGCCTCAGAAACTGGCCCCAAATGCAGCGGTTGGGTTCTCAACTGGGTTCCCTCTTTTACTAATGGCATTTCTATCCCACCTTTTCTCCAACAGGCTCCAGGTGGTGTCCGGGACTGGACCCAAGAGGAATGCTGGAGACCCCCTTCCCTCCTCCTGAACCTTCCCGAGAAGAGGAGGACAGTATAGATTGACAACAGTGGTTTGCAGAAGGTCATAGCTCAGAGGCTGCAGAGGGGAGAAGCTGAGAAATATTGGGAGAGCAGCAGGAGGAAGAAGCAGCACCAGGGGAGAGACAGCTGACAGACTCTGTGTCTTCAGAAAGCATTCCTGACCCTCCTTCTCCCAGGATCCAGCGTGCATTGAGAGTGCATTAAGAGAACAGGAAGCTCAGAGGCAGAAAGCACACATCAGCCGACACAGGGTTGATGTAGAAGAGGAGAGACAGGTGGGACTTTACTCAGAACAATGCCATTACTGCAATGGAGAGGCGCTTTTCAAAGTCTCTCTCTGTAAATATTGAATAAAGGACTCGGCAGGAACTCTTCTTGTTGTCTACTTCTTGGCTGGCCACTGGGGCCTGAAGCCTGACAGGGGGCATCTACCTCTCCTCATTGCAGACCCACAAAAATCCTTTGGCATACATGTAATTCCTGTTTTAAATACCTGCATTGGTTGCCAGTTCATTTCTGGGCCTAAGTTCATCAACAGACTAACACTTTATATTATTTAATTGGCAATGGAAGAGGAGAAAGGCCCATGACTCACTCTTAATCTAAGCACAACCACAAGGGCTTTGCCATGTGGAATGCTCTCTGTTCTCTGCTCACTATGTTCTATCCTGCATTTTTGGTTGTATTCAAACCAATTCATTAACCATCTGCCAAGCGAGATGGCTTCCTCCAAAGAGTCTTGGGAACCGTAGTTTGTTAAGGATGCTCACAGTTCTTAAGAGACACCATCCAGCTGCCCCACTAGATCCTAAAAAAATATTGAAAAGCTTTGAAAACACACAATTAATTTAGGTTCTCTCCCCCCACCCGCCAGCAGATGCTTTGGCTGCCCCCCCCCCCGGAAATCCTGGCTACGCCCATGGCCTCCATCCTCCTTGTCAGCAGGTCCCCTAGCAACTCTCATCACTCAAGGGTGGGGGTTGCCTCTTTCGCGCCCACCCCTCCGCTTGCTTCCTTTCCAGGAGGGCCTCTCCTGTCTTGGATTCCTGGGGCATTTAATGGCCAGCTCCAGTCAGCATTCCCTAATGTAGAAGCAATTCTGAGAATGTTCATTTGAATGATGAATGCAAATTGCCATGGAGAAAGATCTTTTTCTCAGCTGAAGAGGATAAAAAATGAATTTAGAACAACAAAGTTTCAAGATAAATTATGTTACCTCAGCAGCATGTGCACAGAAAATGACAAGCTATGCAGTTTATCGTTTGATGATGTCATCAGTGATTTTGCTTTGGCAAAAGCAAGCAAAGTACTGTAACTTAGATCATGTTTGTGTACTGTTTGAATCCACAGTATACAATGAATCATGATAAAATTATACAGCTGAATGGGTATTGGATAGATGCATTAATACAATTAGTCCTGTTTAATAATTTTTTGATGTACAGGCATATATAGTATTGGTATTATTTATGAATGTGATATATTACTAGAAATACTGTCATTTACACTCAGTAAGTGTAACAGGGTACAAAAGTCTGCTGTCCCAATGAACAGTGTGGACTACTATGGTGATACTGCATTGATATTATATAAAAACACATTGTATTAACTACAATTGCATTGTACAGGTTATAACACTTAATTTCATATTAATAAAGCTATTTATAATTATTAGTAGTTTGCCTCATATATTTACACCTCTTATTATTTCATGTTATCACACGTTTCTAGAGACTTGATTATGAGTCTTTGTAAATTGTGTTTCTGAAGGAACTTTTGTTATTGCCCTATGCCAATGTGTTTGCATTATGAAGAAAAACCATTTTAAGTTAGAGCTTAATGATGACTTCACTATTAATATACTTCTTCATTGTATTTCACTATTAATACATTTCTTTATTGTGTTTCAGTTCAACAATGACTTTGATAAAATACATATTTGGCTAAGTGCAAATTACCATCTTGCAGATAGATATTCAGTACAAAAACCAGCGACCATTTGCTGTGGCCAAAGGACAGCTGGACATAGAAAGGGCCCCATGACCTTCCTCCGACCTCAGTCCGGCCCTGTTTGGGGGCCCCCGGCTCCTGGGGAGGGAGTTCCACAGGTTTCCCCCCCCCCGGCCAGCCCTGGACCCCCCTCCCCCTTCTCCCCAAGGCGGAACAGAGACGAGACCCACCAGAGGCCCGCGGGCGAGGGCCAGGCCGCTCTCCACGAGGAGCCCCTCTTGCAGGAAGTGACGGGGGGAGCTGTTCCCATTTCATTTCCTGTCCTCTCTAGGAAGCCAACTCGGTGCCACTTAACCCTTGGCGAGCGGGGCGCGGAGGAGCGGCGGCGTTGCGCAGGCGCAGAGCTGCTCCCTCCCTGGGGAAGAGGCCGCGCTTGGGCCCGCCTGGCCCCGGAATGGGGGGGGGGTCCTTGGTGGGGCCTGGGAGGGTGCGGGGCCCCCGGGCCGAGAGGAGGGGCGCCTGGCCGGGAAGAAGCAGGACCCAGAAGCCGGGACTGGGCGCGTGTGCGTGGGAAAGGGGGAACCCGTGTCCGGGAGGAGGAGCCCGTCTCTCTGCCTGGGGCTCCGGGGCTGGGAAGGGGCGTCCGGGCGGGGGAGGGTTTATGGGGGGGGGCGAAGGGACCAGATCGGGGGACCCGGGGGGCGAGTCCCGCCTGGCTCTCTTGGGGACCCCTGGGCAGCTCTGGTGGGGGCTGCGGGGGCTGCAGGGCAGAGAGCCCAGTCCCAGCAAGAGGGGGTCCCCGGGGGCTGAAAGAGCAGCTGGAGGGGGGAGACATGTTTCAGAGACATTGCATACAAGTGTATGTATTCCGCTTGCTTGTGTATTCTGTATTGTAGCATATGTTGCTTTGTTCCTATATTTCAGCAATAAATATCATATGTTCTTATCTGTTAGTGAAGTTGCCTTTGAAACAACACAGAAGCAGTCAAAGGGGTTTTCCTAGGAAGCATTTTATTCCCCCTCTGGTGACATTGTGTGTTCGTGCGCTGCTCTGGTTCGCCAGAAGTGGCTTAGTCCTGCTGGCCACATGACCCGGAAGCTGTACGCCGGCTCCCTCGGCCAGTAAAGCGAGATGAGCGCCACAACCCCAAAGTCGGTCACGACTGGACCTAATGGTCAGGGGTCCCTTTACCTTTACTAAATGCCATGGACAAACTAAGCGCCCGTTGTATATCAAGCAACAGGAAAAGACCACACAAAAAGCAATAACGTTAGTCCACAGATTAATTTTTATTCAAACCCAGAATAGAAAAAAGCAGCAGTAAGTACAGTGTCTCAAAGATACAGCGTAACATCTTTACCTTAAAAAAAGTAATGAAACATAACAATCGGCAAAGAGGCAGTTAAATGGAATTTTTTAGTGGCAAGGAAAAAAAGGAAGCCCATCACAGCAGGCCTGTGTTGTTAAAAGTTAGGACAACAGATTTTTGTACATCTCAAGAGCAATAAGAAAGTATTCCTTCCCACCCTTTGCTTGAGAAGCTAAGACACCCCCCCCACTGCCGCCCTGCCCCTTCCTGGCATGTAAACACCTGAACGAGGTCCCTGCAGCCCCCCCCTCCCTCACTGACACACCTGAAAGTGCCCCCCTTGGGGGGAACTCAGGAGATACTTTACATTTGTGGGCCTGGGACGAATTCATGGCTGTTTAAAATAAGGCAGTGGGTGAGTGGTGAGTGGGTATAAGTCACAATTTAGCCCTTGTTCCTATCTCAGACCCCTTCCAAATTCAAGTAAAGTTGGGGATTGCTGGCGAACCCCCCCCCCCATGAAGGAAATGCTGAGGAGTGGGAGAAGAAAGAGAAAACTCTGGAAGAGTTTGGCTCCAGGGTCCCTTGAGAGAGAGCGGGTTCCGACTCTCTGAGCAAAGAGGAAGGAAAAGGGGGTCCTGCAAGAAGAAGAAGAAGAGGGGAAGACTCCATTTTACAGGGGAGGGGGAGAGGGATTGGGCTCCAGGTCAAGAGAGCACCCTGGATCCTGGCACTGAAAAGAGCCCCCCCCCCCACTTTGTGCCAAAAGTTCCAACTTGGAAACCACCTGAAACGCCCCCTAGTCCAGACCTCACAAGGGAACATTTTAGCTGCACTTCCTGCATTGCAGGGGGCAGGCCTAGATGACCCTTGGGGTCCCTTCAACTCGAGGATCTCAGACTCAGAAGAGCCACAGAAACACACAGGCCCGATATCAGGGGTGGGGGGCTGGCCCAGGAGGCCTTGCCAGGCCGGGGGGGGGCACAGCACAATGGCTTCAGCTGGCCCTCCAGAACCAGCCCCCCTCAATGGGCTTTGGACTACAACTCCCAACCGGGCCTGCCAGCAGAAGGCAGGGGGATGGAAACAGCCGTCCAAAAGGTCCGGCCAGCTCCAGAGGCGACCCAAGGCTGCTCTCCAACGGGGCGCTGCTCCAGGCATCTGAGTTGCCCAGTTCAAGGGAGCTGGCGGGACTAAGAACCGGGGTTCCTGAATTGCAGGGGTTGGACTAGATGAGCCTGGAGTGTCCTCTTCCAGGATTCCTCTTCTGGCTGCCAATGCCACGGCTGGAATGTCTCCCAAAACTGCCCCCCCCCCTTTCACAAGGAGCTCTTTCCCCGCCTGCGTCTTAAACTACCCTTTGACTGGCAACCATCTCCAATCTCCTTGCTGGACACTCCCAACCAAAGATGCATTAGATTCTCCTTCCACCTTGTCCCCAATTCTTAAATTGGCTTTATTTCAAAACAGGGTGGGGGGTTGAGAGGGCTTAGTCTTCCAAACAACCCTTTATCCATTAGTTAGTAGACAAGCTTCCCAGTGCAAGGAGAGGAAAGCAGACCTCTGAGCCCAGCCTGGCCCCCCACCAAATTCTGCCCGCATGCCTTGAGGCCCCAAGATGAACGGAGGAAGGCCTGGAGGGCAGCTGCTGGCTGGGACTTTGATTGGGGCAGGGTGGGGGCACAGGGAGAGGGAGACAGGAAGACCGGCCAGGGGGTGGCACTGGGGGGATTTATTCACATTGTTTTTTTACAAAAAGAAACCACCACCCCCAGCTGTGAGGAGGGTGGCGCCTTCATGGTAGGCTTGCAAAAGCAGGTGGGAAGCCTCCAGTGACTGGGGGGCCTCTGATTGCTTCCCCCACTCCTTTGCCAAGGCCGGCGCCCCCTTGTGGTTAGTGCTAAGCATTACACAGGAAGTGGGGCGGGGTGCAGGAGAACCCTAGGCAGCTGCCCCACTCACATAGTTGCCTCCCCTGCCTCTCCTCTGGCCCCCGCCACTCTGCCCTCCAAGACTTGCCCCTCATGCTCCCCAGAGAAGCCCACTGAGGGCAGCTTGATCCTCAAACTCCCCTCGCCCTGCTCGGAGCCCCCCTCCAGGCCCCCTTGAGCTTTGGGGCTCAGGGCCACCTTGGGAAACCGGGACTTTGGGGACCTCTCTCCCTTGGCGCCCATCTCAGCCGCTTCCAGAGAAGACATCTCCACCCGGGCAGCCGAGGAGACCACGGCCCCAGCAGCCCCCTCCCCAGTGCGCTTCCTGAAGCCCGAGAAGGAGATCTTGGGCGACTTGAACTTGGCCGCCTTGAGGGCCGCCAAGGCTCCCCTGCCGGCCCCCAGGGCTTCGTCCTTGGCCTCCTCTGCCCGCACCAGCTCCAGGTTCAGCTCCAAGTCTGCTCCTGCCATCTTGGGCGGGGAGGAGAGCTCCACCTGCGGCAGGCGGATCTTGCCCAGCTTGGCCCCATTGTGCAGAGAGGCCCCCGCCTGCTCCCCATTGACTTGGGCACCCCCCTCGCCCTTGGAGAAGCCCAGCTTGGGCACCTTCATCTTCAGGGGAGAGCCGTCCTCCAGCTCCCCATTGACTTGGGCACCGCCTCCCTTGGCCTTGGGTGAGAGGGAGAGCCCAAAGGTGGGGGGCTTCAGCTTCAGCTTGGCCATCCCCCCCTTGCTGCCCTCTGCCTCCTCCCCCTCCCCCTCCAGGAGCCCCTCCGCCCCTCTGCCCTTGGCCCTCCCCAGCCCAAACATGGGCCTCTTGACCTTGGCCTCCCCCTCGTGCCCAGGGGGTCCTCCTTCCCCGCCCTCTGCTCCCCCTTTGGGCAGAGACAGCCCAAACTTGGGGATCTTCACCTTGTACCTCTTCCCTGCCTCCGCCTCAGGGGCCTCCCCACTTCGGCCCCCCCTCAGCTCTTGGGAGCTGCCGTGGCGGAGCTGGGCCCCCTCCACCTGGTACTCTGCATGCGCCTTGAGGCTGGGGGCTGAGAGCTCCACGCCCGGCACGTGGAAGGCCGCTCTCTTCCCCTCCAACTCGCCTGGAGAGGGAGCGCCATCCCCCTGGGGGCCCAGCAGCTCCACAGCTGGCACCTTGATCTGGGGCGCCTTCAGCCTGGCCTCGAACCCTCCCACTTCCACATCCAGATCTGGCAGCTTCCCTGCTTCCCGCCGGGCAGCCTCACTCTTCCCCTCCTGGGCCACCGAGAAGCCCACGTCTGGCAGCGCAATCTGGGGCCTCTTGAAGGAGAAGTCCGCCCCTTCAGGTGGGGGGCAGAGGGGCTGGGTGTCTGCACCCGCTTTGGAGAGGCCCAGGGACGGGAGCTTGATCTTGAACTTGCCCTCCTCGGGGGACCCCCGGGCCTCCGCCTCCCCCTTGGCAAGGCCAAAGCCAATGGGCACAGAGGGCATCTTGATCTGGGCGGCTTCCTTGGCCTCAGGGCTCAGCGCCTCTGTGCTGCCTCTCAGTTTGGGGGCCTTCAGCTCCAGCTGTGGGACTCGGGGCAAATCCGCCTCAGCTTCCGCTTCCCTGTCCGAGGTGGAGCCCCCAAATTTGGCCAGCCTGATGACCGGGCCCCCAGCTTTGGCGTGAGTCCCCTTCCCTGCTTCCGGGCCCACATCCAGCTCCACCTCAGGGGCCTTCACTCGGGGGGCAGAGAACTTGGGCAGCCCCACTGAAGGCATCCGGAACTTGGCTTCTGACCCTTCAGGGACCACCTCTCCCCCCTCTGCCGTCAGGGGCAGCTCCGTGTCCGACAGGCGCCCCTTGGGCAAGGAGAGGTCCACTCTGGGCAAGCGGATCTTGGTGCCCAGGAGGGAGGTGTCCACCGCCCCTTCCCCACCTTCCTCCCCAAAGCTGAGCCTGCGCCCCCCAAGCAGCTGCACCTCTGCCCCACCCTCCTCCGCTCTCCCAAACCTTGGCAGCTCCACCTGCGGCAGTTTGATCTTGGTCTCTGCTGGCAGCATGGGCTCTTCCACCCCGGCTGTGGGTAAACTCACTTCCAGCTCTAGTTTGGGGGTGGAAATGCCCACCCTGGGGGTCTTCAGCTCCCCCTCGTATCCGCGGAGGTCAGCCTCCGAGACGTCCACCACCGGCTTCTCCCCTTCACCTCTGCTGCTGGGCATGGAGATCTCCAGAGAGGGCACCTTCACCTTGAGGGTAGGGCTCTCTGCACCCACGGCCAGCCCCACCTCATCCCTGGCCCCGATCCTGGGCAGCTCCACCTGGGGAACCTTCACTTCCAGCTCGGGCGGGGCCTGCAGATGTGCCAGCTTCCCTGGGTCTGCTTCCACCTTGGGGGAGGAGAGCTTCAGCTTGGGCATCTTGGCGAAGGGGCCCCCCTTGGGCTTCTCCCTGGGGCTGCCAGGGGCTTTCTTGGCTTCTGCTTCCATGCCCGCTGTGTCCCTGCGCATGAGGCCGAATGAGGGCATCTTGAACTTGGAGCCTTTGGCCTCCTTTTCGGGCACCTTTGTGCCCAGGTCTCCTGCCAGGGCCTCCCTGCTCCCTCTCAACTTGCCCTCCTGGCTCTCAAATGCCAGGTCCCCTTCCTTGCCTTTGCCCCGGAATTTGGGCAGCGAAAACTTGGGTACTTTCAGCTTGATGTCGGGCACCTCAGTGCCAACCTCGGGCAAGGGGGTGCCGGAAGGCTCTTCACCGGGCCATGCGGGGAGGCCAAGGTCCACGTCCACCGCCGGCACTGTGACATCCACCGCTGGCAGCTCCACCCCCCCGTGAGCCTCAAGGGCTGCAGTTGCCCTTGCCTTGGGTGCCCTCCCTTCCACATCCACTTTCGATTTGGGAAAGGAAATCCCAAACTTTGGCACTTTCAGCTTGGCTTCCATGCCACCCTCTGCCTCAGGGGCTGAGGCCTCTGGGCTGGCCTTCCAGGCTTTGGGGCCAGGGATGCTGAACTTGGGGAGTGTAAATCTGGGCGCCTTGATGCTGGCCTGAGCCTCCAGGGCTTTGCCGCTCTCCAGGGTCACATCTGGGATCTTGACGGACGGGATTTCGACAGAGGGTAGCTTCACTTTGGCCCCCTCCACTTCCAGCAAAGGCTGGCCCTTCACAGCCAGGCTGCTCTCTGCTGCTCCTTCCTCTCCCGCCAGGGCCTTCCCCAGAGAAAGGTCCACTTTGGGGATCTTGGCCACCAACCCGCTGACATCAGGCCCCCCCAAGACCCTCTCCCTTGGCTCTGCCTCTGGCAGGCCCCCCTGGCACGTGGGGACACTGATCTCCACCTCCAAGTCTCTGGTCACGGCCTTGGGCGAGGGCACCCTGAGCTTGACCTCGTGGCCCCGGGGCAGCGGCTCGGAGGCCGCCAGCTCTCTCTCCACCTTTGGCAGATCCAGTTCAAGCCCAACTTTGGGCAAGTCAATGTCCAGTGCAGGCACGGCCGCCGACGGACAGCTCAGGCGAGCGGCAGGGACAGCCACCTCCACCCGCGGCTTCTCCACGGAGATATCCAACTCTGGCCTGGGCACGGGGGCCTTGGGCAGCTGCATGTCCGGCAGCCGCATTGCCGGCAAGGAGAGATCCACCTTGGGGACGCTGACCTTCACGCCGGCCTCACCTTCCAGCCTGGGCAGCTGGGCATGCATCTGGGGCAGGGAGTCTGCCTTGGCAGAGAGGTCAAACTTTGGGAGAGACACCTGGGGCACCTGGAACTTGAACCCGGGCCCTTCAGCAACCTCTCCTGACTTGGGCCTCCCGGCGGGGGCTGCCACCTCCACCATGGGCCTGGGAAGCTGCACCTCCCCCACTTTGGGGAGAGCAATGTCCAGAGAGGGAACCTTCACCTCGGGGAACGCGGCCCCCTCTTTGCTTTCTAGCTTGTGCTCCGTCAAGGAAATCCCAAACCCTGGGAGCTGGATCTTGGGGCCTTTGGCTTTCGCCTTGGGGCTTTCGTGCCTCCCCATGCTGAGCTCCACCTGGGGCAGCCTGCCTTCTTCTTCCCCTTTCTCCAGGGGGGCTCTGGAGCCCAGCTTGGGCAGGCTGAGCAAAGGCACCTTGACGGAGACGTCTGGGACCTCTGCTCTGGCCTTCGAAAGCTCCACTTCAGCCTTCCCCTTGGGCAGGGGGATCCCCAGCTCCACCGAGCGGATCCCCACCTCCAGGGAGGACAGGGCCACCCCCGCCTTCAGCTTCTCCTCCCGCTCTTCCATTTTGCCCAGGGCCACTTCGACAGCCGGGACCTTGACGCTGGGTGCTTTCAGCTCCGCCTCCTCAGCAGAGACCCCAAACTTGGGGGCCCTGATCTTGAAGCCTTCCCCTTTAGGGGTCATCTCTGGGGCGGCTCTCTCCAGCCCAGGGAAGGACAGGTCAACGTCCACCTTGGGGGCTGCCACTTCGGCCACAGGCAGCTTCAGCCCGCCCTGGAGACCCCCTTCTGGGAGCTCCACCCCGCTGACTTTGGGCAGGGCGGCCTCCACCTTGGGCAGTCCAAACTGGGGGGCCTGGACTCTGCTTTTGGGGGACTCTCTGCCGGGCCCAGCTTTGGGCAGTGGCAGGTCGAGCTCCACCTGCGGGGCCTGGAACTCGCCTTCTGCCTTGGCCCCCGCCCTCTTGGCCTTGCTGAAGGACGCGCTGAAGCGGGAGAGGCTGCCTGCTGCTTTCGCCTCCACCGCAGCCTTGGGCAGGCCCACCTCCAGCCAGCCCCCGGCTCCCTTGGCTCTCGCTGCCGCAGCCTCCTTAACCTTCAGCCTGGGGAACTTCAGCCTGCGCCGCTTGGTCTCCAGGGAGGACAGGCGAGGAGAGATGTCTGGGCTGGGCTCCGAAACGGCCACTTCTCCTGCGCTCTTGGCCTTGCGCAGCTTGGAGAACTTGGGCAGAGAGAACTCCACGTCGACGGGAGCCACGTCCAGCTTGCCACCAGCCAAGTCCCCGCTCCAGGACGCCCCTGACGCCGCCTGCAGGTCCTTGGCCTTTGCAGCCACCGCCTTCTTCTTCTTCTTCTTTTTCTTCAGCGATGTCAGGCTCTGGATGTTCTGGGGAAAGAAGTGCAAGGGCTGCGTGAGTCTTAGCAAGAGGCGCCCAGAGAGAAGTGAGGGAAAGGAGCCACGTACATAAAGTGGTGCGTGGAATGGAGAAAGGAGAAACAGGGGCGTTTCCCTCCCTCTCTCGTGGACATCCAGGGGTGATTCAGGACAGGGGAAAGAGGTTCCTTCTCCCTGCAGCATAAACTGTGGAACAGGATTATGAACTACAAACCCCCAAATTTTGGATCTCCTCCAAACCTGTGCCAAAGTTCTGCAGTGAAAACCCTGCACCCCCAAACTGGATCCCATCCCACATTTTGGGGTTCGTAGTTAATGAAGCCCTGTGGAACTCACTCCCAATTGGGATGGCTTTAACAGAGAATATAAGAGGAGATCTAGTCCAGTATCCTGTTCACACAGTGGCCAACCAGAGGCCCACTGTTGTAAACTAGCAGGCAGGATCTGACCACAAGAGCAACTCCTGTAGTTTTCAGCAACTGGGATTCAAAAACAGGGCAGAGCCATTGTGGCTGTGAGCCACGGACAGCCCTCTCCTCCTCCTCCATGAATTGGCCCATTTCTCTTTTAAAGTAATTTTTTAATTTGCCTCCTATGGATTAGACAAAGTCACGGAGGAGGAGAGGACTAGCAATGGCTACTAGCCAGGATGGCCAAGTTCAGATTCCCCGTTTGGAGGCAGTGCTGCCTCTCAGTACCAGTTCATAGAATATCTATGTCAACCTCTGGGTGCCACCCCAGGCACCCTCTCACCCCTGGAGACAGAGCGGGGTGCACCCTGTCACTGGGCCAGCGCCCCAGAGCAATACCAGGACCACCTACCAGTTTGGCCATCTTGGCTTTGGGGCCCCTCACTTCAAAGGTGGTGGCTCCAGGCTTGCGGGAGACGTCAGCGCTGGGTACGGTCCGTTTCAGGCAAAAGGAGATCTTGTACGGCTCAGCACACTTGAGGATCTGCAAGGCGTCTTCGTACTTGATGTTGTCGAAATAGACTCTGGCACTCAGGAGCTGGTCGCCTGCAAGGCGGGTGGACAGGGGAAGATGTCGAAGCTGAGCCACAGCCCTGCAGTGTTATCCCTTCCGCTGCCCTTAGCTCATTCTGCAGGCCAGAAAACAGGGCCAAGGCCTGGAACTCCAGAGACGCTGTCCGGGGCAACTTTACAGGAACACAAACTTTGGCTCTGGAATTATTGACACAACTGGCAAGAGTGCCCCTGCTCACATGCAGAGACCATTCCCATCCCTGTTCAGCAGCTGCACCCGTCCAAGGCTGCCAAGGTCCTGAAGGGGTGGTCCACCAGCAGGGCACAGAGGCACCAGCTGCCTCCCTGGCCTCTCCCTCCGCCAGGTCTCCTAGCAGCTGTGCGCAAGGAGAGAAACTCTCTGTAGAAGCTGCCCCATCTCATAGAGGGCAAGGGAGGGGCTGTGGCAACCCAGTCAGATGGAAGGGATATAAATGATAAAATTATGATTATGTTGCTTAAGGTGGTCAAGGCGCCCTCGCCAGAGCAGAGAATCATCCCTGTTCTTCAGTCCTCCCTCCCTTCACTGGCAGTGTGGTGCAATGGTTAGAGTATTGGACTGGGACCTAGGAATGACCAGTGTTGAAACTCCCTCACAGACAGAGTTGTTGTTGTTGTGGGCATTAGATGAGGACCAGGATTCAGGAGGGACCAGGGTTCCAATCATGACGTTTGCTGGCTGAGACCTGGAGGGCCTAACCTACACTGCAGGGCTGTTGTGAGCATTAAGTGAAGAGGGAAGAACCATGCAGGCCACCTTGGAGGAAAAAGGTGGGACATAAATGCAATAGAGACTCAATCTCCAGGGAGGTTTGGGAGCGGAAGCCCCAAACGGCCACTGCTTCCAGCCTGTGCAGGCAACAGTGAGCTAGGAGAGAGCCAGACACTGGCTTTGCGCCAGGCGGCTGCTCTTTCCCTCCACCAACAGGGAGGCTCACCTTCGCGGAGGCTCAGCGCCCGAGCAGCAGGCGAGTCCTTCAGGACGTCCTTGATGAAGAGGCCGCTCTTTCCCCCTCCGGCCACGCTCATCCCGCTGACCCCGGCCTCTGCCTCCGTCTCCACGATGATCTCCAGCAGCTCGGAGGTCTCAATGGTCTTCTCCATGGAGCTCAGCTGCGCCTCCATCTTGGCTGGGGCCAGGGGCTCCCCCCTCTCCTCTTCCTCGGCCTCTTCGGAGCTGCGCTGGCTCTCGCCTTTCCTCTGCAGGACTCTCTTCAGCTCCGCATGCAGCTTCTCCTTCTGGGCCTGGGGAGGAACCGAGAGGGTGTCCACACAGCACACCAGACCATGGGGGGGGGGACCAGTTCGCTGAACCACCACAGCTTCCTCCCAGGGGCTCCTGCTTCTTTTGGGAAGACGATGGAGCTATTTCGCTAGTGGGAGTTTCTTCCTCCCAGCCTCCTTGGAAGAACCATCCACACACACCCCAAACACCACCCAGCAATTCTCCTTTCGCTATCCGGCTTAAACGTTGGCGGAGGCTCCTAAACTCCCCTCCCCTGCTGGCCAGTCCAGAGCCAGCTTCCTCCTCTCTGCCCCGCCTAATGGTGATCTCAGATAACCTAAGAGCATAAGACCAGCTACTGGATCAGGCCAAGAACCCATCCAGTCCAGCCTGCTCTTTTCACCTAAGAATCCAGATAGACGGCCACTGGACCGGGAGGTTCCCGAAGAACATACAAAGAGCCTGGCTGCTGGATCAGGCCAACCGGGCCCATCTAGACCAGCATCCTGTTCTCACAGCGGGCAACCAGATGCCCCAGTGGGACGATCACAAGCAGGATCCGAGCGCAAGAGCCACTCTTTCCTCCTGCAGGTTCGAGAAATGGGCATTCAGAAGCATTGCTGCCTCCCACTGTGGAGGGCATGGCATAGCCCTCGTGACTAGGGGCCTCCATAGCCCTCTCCTCCAGGAATAGGCACAGTCTGCCATCCAGGTTGGTGGCCACCACGGCCTCCCCCTGTGGAAGGGAGTTCCATAGTTTAACTAGGCACTGCATGGAGATGTAAGAGGCGGCAGAGGCCACACCTTGGAGGGGCAACAGGCTCAGGGACCCGGCGTCACCCAAACTGCCTTCCACCCCACATCTTCAGATGTGTGACCTGCCCCCTCCTCCTTGGGGGGGGCACAGCCCTACCTGCCTCCTCCACCCTCAGAACGTGTCTTCTTGTCTGTCCCCCCCCGCCCCACCCTCTTCCCGACTTACTGCTCGGTCTGCGTCACCAGCTTCCTCGGGGGGCAGGTGCGGGGGGCTGCCTGGGGGGGCCTGCAGCTGCTCATTCCCTTTGGAGCCGGCTGTCTGGAAGGCAGGAGAGAAGCAGGAGGTGGGGGAGGTGACTCTGCCAGCTCTCAGGGACCCCAAGAGCCCAGCTGGGAATGGGGTGCAGCGGGGGTTGGGGGCTGGCCTCTGTAGTAGACAACGCCAGTGGTAACAGGGGCACAATCGGTCTGGGCTGGGGAGGTGCTGAAGGGACACAGGCGCAACTAGGGAACAGGCTCCCTCGGAAGGTAGTGGACTCTTCTTCGTTGGGTTTTTAAGCAGAGGTCTGGTGGGGCTTGGGCTCGATGACCCTTGGGGTGCCCTGCAAACTGCAGTTCTATGATTATAAGCAGATCTGCTGCTTTTACTGCGACAGAGCAACACAGCCACTTCTCGAAATAAACACACCTGAGTTACACTTAGAACCACAGACCTGTTGAGTTGGAAGGGACCCCCAAGAGTCATCTAGTCTGACCCCCTGCAATGTTGGAATCACAACTTAAACACACACAAACGGCTTTGTAAGGCACCCACTCCCACCTATAGATCTGCCGGCAGGAGTCATGGAGGAGTGGGGAAACAGCAGGAGCCCACCAGGGAGGGTGCTGACCTGCAAAACGTCCAGAGAGATGATCGCCAGGCCCAGAGGACCAGTGGGAGAACCCTGGGCCTGGGAGGACCGAGTTCAAGTGATGGAGCAGTGGCTGGCGTGTCGGACTGGGACCTGGGGGACCAGGGTTCAAATCCCCATTGGGCCATGCAGCTCACTGGGTGGCCTTGGGCCGGTCATTGCCTCTTAGCCTATCCTACCTCACAGGGTTGTTGTGAGGATTAAACGAGGGTGAGAACCACGTCTGTTGCCTTGAGCTCCTTGGAGAACAAAGTGGGATATAAATGCAGTAGACAGGCAGCCAGGCAGGTAGGTACTGCAGGCAGGTAGATAGACTTGGGGGCAGGGCCATCGATTCACCTGCCACCTATCTGGAAAATGGGCACAGGGTTGTGTCTGCAGTCCAAAGAGCTGCACTGGAAGCGTCATTTGAGAGAGGAGTGCAGTTCCCAGGCTTCCTTGAAGAGGGTTTCTGGTGGGGCTGACCCAGAATTCAGAGAGGGGGAGCACAGCTTGAGGGTGGGGGCTGCAATAGTGGTGATGGAGGAGGAGGAGGTGCCCAGGTACTTACAGCTGCTTGCTGCCTTGTCCTGAACACGTGGCTCTCTGGAACCTGGCCCTGTGCAGCTGTGGAGGGGGAAATGTTATTATTTTATTTGTTATTATTTATTATATTTGTATACTGAAGATCACAGGATATTCACAACATAAAAATACAAAATGATAACACAAAATACATAATAAAACAATCACAAACCAATAACCCCATTCCCACAACACGTTTAAAAGGGTATTGGATAATCAGCCAAAGGCTGGGGAGAAGAGGAATGTTTTTGCTTGGTGCCTAAAGGTTTATAATGAAGGCACCAGAAGAACCTCCCTGGGGAGAGCATTCCACAGACGGGGAGCCACTGCAGAGAAGGCCCCGTTCTAAGTGTTGCCACCCTCCAGACCTCTTGAGGAGGAGGCACACGAAGGAGGGCCTCAGGAAATGATCTCAGGGTTTGGGTAGGTTCATAAGGAAAGGCATTCCTTGAGGCATTGCGGTCCTGAGCCATTTAAGGCTTCCTAGGTCAAAACCAGCACTCTGAATTGGGCCGGGAAATTAATCAGTAGCCGGAGCAGTTGGACCAAGATCTGTGTCATATGCTCAAGCCGTCTTGTCCCAGTGAGCAGCCCAGCTGTCAAGTGCCAGCTGAAGTTCAGAAACCGCTCTACGTAGAAGGCATTGCAGGAATCCAACCTGGAGGTTACCAAAGCATAGACAGCAGTAGCTGGGCTCTCCCTGTCCAGATGGGGGCACAGCTGGGCCACCAGCCAAAGGCGATGGAAGGCAATCCGGGCCACTGAGGCCCCCTGAGCCTCAAGCAACAGCAGAGGATCCAGAGGATCCAGGACCACCAAGCAGTAGCCTGGCTCTTTTTAAGTGTTTATGGAACCTCCAGGTCCAGAGGCAGTCTACCTAGAGCCCTGGGTCCCTAGGGGTATTTGACCACAGTGAGAACAGGATGCTGACCCAGCAGCCAGGCTCTTCTGAGGTTCTTCTGCCCACCAACCCCACAGGCGTCAGCCTCTGGGATGGAGAGGGAAAAGGCATGGCCCCCTAGGCTTCCACAGACGGCCCCCTCCTCCTCTCCCACTGTTCCTTCCTGCTGCCCTCCTTTCCCTGCCCAAGACTCCAGTCGGCACTTGCTCCCTCCCTTGGTGAAATCCCAGGCTGCCATGGAGGGGTGGCATTTCATTCCCACGTCCGGACTCCGAGGACCCACGCCACGCCGTTCCCCAAAAGGTCAAGACGCGATGCCGCACATTCCCAGGCCAGAGGACAAAGGGACGCAGCGTCTTGGCCAGCCCCTCACGGGCATTGCTAGCATTCCTGGAGCCATTCCCAAACACCTCCCCCTCCTCGGCGACTGCCCCCTGGAGCTCTGGCTGGCATCTCCGTGGAGAAACCCAAGGCAGCGGAGCCCCAGGGCCGAAAGCAGACTCTGAGCTTCTCCACCCTGGCCTTTTGCCCTGTGCTGTCCAGACACAGGTTGCCACTTCAAATCTCCCTCTCTGAATGCTCTTTAAAGCTGAAGTGCAAACCCAACCAATTTGGGTTTCCCACAGACTGACGTTTGCTCCGATTCAGCAGTAAAGAGTGGATTTCCGCAGGGGAAACTCCAGAGCACAAACAAGAACATTCAAACATGGAGATTTAAAGGGCAGACCTAGGCCTGGAAAGTTCAAAGGATTGTTAGTGTGAGTAAGTCTCCAGGCAGGTCCTCACACTCACAGCCAGCGTATTAAACGGGGGGGGGGGTGCTCTGGATTCACACCCCACAATGTGTGCTTCTGGCTGAAGAAGTGGGGCTCGGGATGCCCTATCTCCCCTCTACTTTTCATACTGGTCCTGGAGGTTTTGTTAAATATGATTAGAAAGGACCAGTTGGTCAAAGGAATTCAGGTCGGAGTGAAAGAGTATAAACTGAGGGCATTTGCAGATGACCTAGTTTTGACTCTACAGCAGCCAAACACTAGTACAAAAAGAGTTTTAGAACTGATTGAGATATTTGGTCAAGTTGCAGGATTTAAACTGAATAAACAAAAAACTAAAGTGCTGGAGAAAAACCTAACAAATGAGGAAAAAGAGACATTTCAGAATGAAACAGGTTTGGAGATAGCAAAAAAAGTGAAGTACTTGGGGGTGAACTTGACAGCGAAAAATGTGAACTTATTTAAGGACAATTATGATAAATGTTGGACAGAAGTTAAGAAAGATTTAGACATATGGTCAAGGCTGAAACTTTCCTTGTTTTGCTGTTATCAAAATGAATGTATTGCCTAGAATGTTATTCCTGTTTCAGACATTACAAATAATAGACAAGATGGACTGTTTCAAGAGGTGGCAGAAAGACATATCGAAATTTGTTTGGCAGGGCAAAAAGCCAAGAATAAAATTTAAGACATTAACAGACGCAAAAGATAGAGGAGGTTTTGCCCTGCCGGACTTAAGACTTTACTATGAATCAGCAGCGTTTTGCTGGTTGAAAGACTGGCTGCTCCTCGAGAATACAGACATTTTGGATCTTGAAGGGTTTGATAACAGATTTGGTTGGCATGCATATATATGGTATGACAAGGTAAAAGTGCACAAAGGTTTTAAGAACCATATGGTGAGGAAAGCTCTGTATAATGTCTGGATAAGGTATAAAGATTTGTTTGAAAGCAGAACCCCTAGGTGGCTGTCACCAATGGAGGCAAAAGAGGTGAAAAAATTGAATATGGGTTCTAATTGGCCTAAATATTTTGAAATGATAGAACAAGATGGTGAAAAAGTAAAATTGCAGAGTTTCGAGAAACTGAAGTTTAAGGTGAGAGATTGGCTACATTATCGACAGTTAAATGAAGTATTCAAACAGGACAGAAAGAAAGGCTTCCAAGTGGAGAAGTCCAAACTAGAAACAGAACTGCTAGAACCCAATACTAAAATCTTGTCAAGAATGTACAACTTGCTGTTGAAATGGAATACTCAAGATGAAATGGTGAAATCTAGTATGATTAAATGGGCACAGGATATAGGGCATGACATTGAGCTTGCTGACTGGGAGCAGTTATGGACCACTGGTGTTAAATTTACGGCATGTAATGCCTTAAGAGAAAACATTATGAAAATGATCTACAGGTGGTACATGACTCCGGCTAAGTTAGCAAAGATTTATCATTTGCCCAATAACAAGTGTTGGAAGTGTAATGAAACGGAGGGAACCTTCTATCACCTTTGGTGGACCTGCCCGAAGATCAAGGCCTTCTGGGAAATGATCTATAATGAAATTAAAAAGTTCTGAAGAGAACATTTAATAAAAAGCCAGAAGCCTTTCTCTTGGGTATGGTGGGCCAAATGGTGCCAAAGAAGGATAGGACATTTTTTATGTATGCTACAACAGCAGCAAGAATTCTTCTAGCAAAGTATTGGAAGACACAAGATCTACCCACGTTGGAAGAATGGCAGACGAAGGTGATTGATTATATGGGACTGGCAGAGATGACTGGCAGAATCCGAGACCGGGGGAAAGAGGCGGTGGATGAAGACTGGAACAAATTTAAAGTTTATCTTAAAAACTGTTGTAATTTGGAAAATTAGAGGATCAGGGTAATAAGAGATAAAGAACTACAGTTGTTTTATTATCTTATGGAAGTTAAATTTACGAAATAGAAATAAGTTTAATACGAAAGGGTTGCTGAAAAATCTTGAAACAAGAATGCAGAAAAGGGGTGGTACAGGGAAGTCGGTTTTGTGTTTATCTATGTTTTTGTTTTGTTTTCTTTTTTACTTATGGAAAATCAATAAAAATTTATTTTAAAAAAAATAAAAATAAATAAATAAAAGAAGAAGTGGGGCTCGTAAGCATAAGATAAGAATTTGGGTGGCTTTCAAAGAGAATTAGACAAATTCATGGAGGAAAAGTCTATGGAGGTAAAGGTAAAAAGGTAAAGGACCCCTGGACGGTTAAGTCCAGACAAAGGAAACTATGGGGTTGCAGCGCTCATCTCGCTTTCAGGCCGAGGGAGCTGGCGTTTGTCCACAGACAGCTTTCCGAGTCATGTAGCCAACATGACTATACCGCTTCTGGCACAACGGGACACCGTGACGGAAACCAGAGTGCACGGAAACGACGTTTACCTTCCCACTGCAGCGGTACCTATTGATCTACTTGCACTGGTGTGCTTTCGAACTGCTAGGTTGACAGGAGCTAGGACACAGCAACAGGAGCTCACCCCATCGTGGGGATTCAAACCACTGACCTTCCGATCAGCAAGCCCAAGAGGCTGAGTGGATGAGACCACAGCGCCACCCAGGATGGAAATTTCCGAAGGGGAGAGGGCTGCTCTGGGGCTCAGATTCCGCTTGCTGGCTTCCACACAAACCTAGTTGGCCACTGTGAGAAGAGGCTGCTGGACTAGATGGGCCCCTGGCCTGATCCGGCAGGCACTTCTTCTGTTCTGATGCTTCTTTCACTTCTTCCCACTTCCTTGATTGCTTTGGTGGTCCTTTTCTAAACCTCTTCCAACTCCACAAAATCCCCTTTGAGGTGAGCTGACCAGAACTGTTCAGGTGCAAGCAGCAGATGTTCTGCCTGGGGCCCCCTGGGGCCCCCTCTTTCCTGCTCTGCTCCCTCCAACCTCTGAATGCAAAACTCAGTGGAGAGAGATCTGCTCCCACTCCGAGCCCAAGACAAAGAGGGGCCTGTTCAGGTCTCTCTCTCTCCCACCTCCCTCGCTGCAGCGTCACCATCGTGGCAGAGCGTGGGAGAATGCCAGGCATTCTGTAGGCTCAGCAAAGCCAGAGTTGCGGCCAGCGAGGGGCAGTGGGGAGAGAGAGGCAGGCCAGGCCTGGGCCAGGAATGCTGCAAAGCAGCCAGGAGACAGGGCCCAGTGTCCCAGGGAGCTCTCCTCCTTGCTCTGGAGCCTGAGCCAGCCTGCGGGGTCAGACTAGATGACTCTGAAGGTCCCCTGTAGGGATGCAGAAAAGGTTTCCTGCAAATGACAGGCATTCCAGAAGGCCCACCTCAAAGCCAAAGTGAGGGAAGCCCATTCACACACCTCTTTCAAACCCCACTTGAGGCTACTTCTCAATGGCACTG